GGGTGAGGGGTTGCAACGGATCGGCCTCCGGTCGAAGACAGCACAGAGGTCTGAGGCTGGCTTGAGGGCAAAAGCATGCGCGTGCGTGCGCGCGCGAGTGCGCACGCTCTCAAACATACATGCACATCCACACATGCGCACACAATCACACACGCACACGTGTCCACACTAACACGCAAAAGCACACACACACACACACACACACACACACACACACGTATGCACACACCGAACTTAGAACCCACCCGCAACTGATGATTCCAGGTGCCGGGCATTGAGCGTGTGCACATCCTGGAGGGGGAGAAGGGCGGCCCACCGCGCATCCAGACGGAGGGCATCAACTTCGTGGTGAGGGCCCCTGTTTGGGTGGGGGGCGCGGGTATGGGGGCGGGGTTGGAGTGGCCAATTCAGGGGTCTCACTGGGGGTGAGGGGTTCAGGGATACGGGGTTCTGCAGATCAACCGTGGCAAAGGGCCGCTTTGAAGGTGAGTCGGCCGGCGGCAGGGGCGTCTGCGCACTCTGATTATTCTCGTGGAACGTCGTGGATTTTGCATGCCTGTGGGTCATGGACGGTTGTGGAATGTCGCTGGGGGCGGTGTTTCGGGGGTGTGAGCGGTGGCATCAGGCTGACACAGGGCGGCTGCTTGGTGGTGAGCCCTCTGGTGGCGTTCAAGTGACAGGCAGCGGCCGCGGCCCCTGCTCATGGGGCGGCGCCCGCTCCAAACAGTGCCTTTGGGTGGGCCCCGTCGGCGCGGCTCGCTGGTTTTGTCGGATCTACTGGCGAGCCGCGCGTTGACTGCAAAATCTTCAAGACGCACACGATCCCACGACCCTTTGATCCCACCCGGCAATATAGAAAAACACACCCACCACACCACATGCACATACACAACACGCAACATGAGCAAACCCACACACGACACCTAAACACACACACACACATATACACACACACACACACGAATCACGCGCGCGCCACCCCAGGGTGTGTGGGAGCAGGCGTCCCTGCTGGACGTGGACAAGCTCATGACCAATGACGTCCACGCCATGCTCGTCACCTACGGCGTCGAGGCCGCGCGCGCCACCATCCTCAAGGAGGTGCGGGGGCCACGCGCGCGGGGCCTCGCCGTTGCCTCGCACACGTCGGCGCGATGCACGGCGTGTGCGCAGGGTCGAGGGGTAGAGGGGGCCCCATCCAGCCCACCGCGCTGCATGTTGTGTCACACCCCCCCCCCCTCGTCAAGCATGCGAACACACATACTCTCTCCACTCAACACACACACGAACGCACACACTGCACCTCACCTCAAGCCCTCCCACCGGTGTGGCCGCGCCCCGCCCCCTCCCCCAGGCGTCCGCTGTGTTTGGTGCCTACGGCATCGGCGTCGACCCCCGCCACCTCAGCCTCATCGCAGACTTCATGACCCACACCGGCGGCTACCGCCCCTGCAACCGCATGGGCATAGACTCGTCCACCAGCCCCCTCCTTAAGATGAGCTTCGAGACCGCGGCGCGATTTTTGACGGACGCCAGCCTGGCGGGCGCGACAGACCCCCTCAAGTCGCCCGCGGCGCGGCTGTGCGTGGGGCAGGTGACCGAGGTGGGCACCGGCTGCTGCGACGTGCTGATGGCGGTGTGACGTCATGCTGACGCGTGGTGATGTCATCCAGGAGCGGGCGGACCGAGAGAGAGTGGGCTTTGGTGTCGTGGGCGGGAGCTAGGGTAGCAGCGGTTTTGTGGGGGGCGGTTGCTTCGCTGCCCCTTCCTTGCTGTGTGCTGTATCGGCGTTGCTGTGATGGGGCGATCCACTTGTTTTGGATGGCGAGCCGGGCTGGGCGGTCCCTCCATTTCTGTCTTCTGTGCAGTAGATGCGCATGTTTCTATTTGTCGCACCCGGCTCCAGCATGCGGAGCCAAGCGGCCCGGGGTGCCAAAAGCGGTGCAAGGCGATCCAGCACCAGCGCGCAACCTTTCCAGCTTTGCAGCACGTTGTGCGTGTTGCGTGATCTTGCGCCATTCTGTTTCTCCGTCCCTTCTCACAATTTTGTCGCTAGGAAATGCACAGCACATCTGCAGCAGGTCTTGTATGCGGCCAGCCACTGCTCTTATCAATCGCACGCAGGGGTCTTGTAACGATCCAAATGAAGGGGTGTCAGTACAAAAGATCCACCCTTGCTATGACAGACGCTGGGGCGACAATTGTGACAGTCTCGACATATATGCATGGCGGACACAGCTCTTTGCAGTTCAGCCCTGGAGTCAATAATTGATGTCAAGCAAGTAGAGGCAGCGCCCATGAACATAAGGCAATTTCAGGCATCAGGGCTGAGAGCAGCAGCAGCACACCTTGGAGTTCCTCCGAAAACACTGTGCTTTGCAGGTGCAAATATTGGGATCCAGCTAGGGGCAAGGGCACAGCTGCAATTACCCTGCGTCATGACCATGCCGTGCACCACGGACGACAAGTGCAGCGGATGGAAACGAAAGCTTCACGGCTGCATCAACCGCATTATGTGTCGTCACTGCCTGGGGGCGGGCGCAACCGGGGGAAAAGGCCTCTGGATGAAGGGGTTGGGTCAAGGGGTTAATCATCGCTGCAACGAGCTTTTTGACAGCGGCCCCAGGCCAGGCCGGGGAGTGGGCGGGAAAATACAGTAGGGAGGGGAGCCAGCGCAGCGGAGGAGGGGGGGGGTCGGTTCACCTTCCTGCCAACGCCACGACTGCTCTTGCCGCATGTGCGCCTTGCGGCAGGCTTGATGTCACTCATTGTAGGCTGCTTAGGTATGAACCTGGGGGGGCAAGGGCTGGCAAGGGGAACACGATTTCATCTCAAGGAGCAGTCAAGTGTGAGGTCAACCATTACGGCGTGAGGGACGTTGAGCCATGTTGCGCAGATGCTTATGTCGCGGGTATGCACTCACATACAGTGTACAGATATTATTCAATTTTTCACATTTGTATGTACAGACGCTGAACGCTCTTGGTGCGGACGTCGTGTTTTGTATGAGATGCCTGCTTCGCAAATCCCGTCGCAGATATTGTTTAACGATTTCTACAGTGGAAATGCGTTTATACAGTGAGATTATGCGAACGGATGCACTTCAAGCGGAGGCGATGAGCAAGCGATGTGCTGGAGCAGTTTGCAAGAGCAGCGACTGCCTGCACTCGCTGCTGCCCATCGGATGGCATTCCCGCCGGCCCTCATTGTGGACGCAGGGTGACGAAGGGCACATGGTCGTGCGTCGACGCGCCGGACGGCACCAGGGGTGCGGCGCTGGCAGAGGCCGCGGCGGCAGCACGCGCGGGGATGTATGTGCGGTCACACAACCTTGCGAAAACTTTTGATGGGGAGCGTGGCATGGCGCCAAGGGTGCTGCACCCCAAGGCTACCCATCGCCCGCAGCTCAACCTGCAGACAGAAGACATTCCTGGCGCCCAGGTGCGGGAGGGGACAAGGCAGAGGGTTCCATCTCTGCGAAATCTGTCGAGAGCATCAGCAGCAACAACACCACCAGCACCAGCAGCAGCACCAGCAGCAGCAGCACCAGCAGCAGAACCAGCAGCAGCACCAGCAGCAGGTGTGGCAGGAGCAGCAGCAGGGGCGGGGCGGTCCCAGCTCCGCCCCAGCCCCGCTCCCAGCACTGGCCCCGGCAGCAGCAGCATCAACATGGCTGACGTGCACACGTTGTCCTTCGTTTCGTTACAAAGCCCCAAAACTCACATCTGCATGTGCAGCCCAAGCTCAAGGATGCGATTGAGCGGCCGCGTGGGACCAACCCACTGGAACCCGAATACCACCTGGCGGCCTGGTGAGAGGCCAAGTGGCAGCAAGTTTGCAAAGGGGAGAAGGGCAGGGAAGGGGCATAGAAAGGCATTTGTCTTGAGACGGACCCAGTGTGACAGCAGAGGTGCCCAGTGGGTGCCGGCTGGCCCGTGCTGCTGACACCGGGCTTCAAATCACCCCAAAGCAAAAGCATGCTGTGCCCAGACATCCCCCCTCGAAACACGTCCCGCACGCGCAGCCCGTGCGCGCCGCCCCCGCCCCCGCCCCCCTTCCGCGGGGACCCCCTCGAAACCTCGGACATTGCAGGGGCGGCCGCGAGGCGGCCGCCTGCGCCGCACGCCGCGGCCTGCGACTTCACCCTGCGGGTCGACGACATTGAGGGGGCGCGCGCGGGCTGGGCGCCGCAGCACAGGCGAGTGCCACCCACCCCTCGGGCCGCAGCGGCAGTCATCCCAATGCGGGCGCCCAGGACGGGCATGCCATGGCGGCCGTTGACTGTTGCTGAAGATGATCGCCGCATCTCCCTGATAAGCGCCTGCACAATTCGCTGCACCATTGTGTTGCCTCGCACGCACGCAGGCGCCACCTGCGCTCGGCGCCGCCCCGCACGTCCGCCCTCGACACCCGGGACATCAACACCGCGCGCCGCCGCCCCCAGCCGCCGGCGGCGCGGCCGGGCGGCGCGGCGGGCCTGCCCTCCAAGGGGGACGCGGACGGCCCGCGCAAGCCGCGCACGGTGCAGCCACGGCTGCGGGCGGAGGACATGGACAACAGCCTGAGGACTTTCGACATCATCGGCGTCGGGTGCGGGGCACATCGTTTGTTCTGTTGTATAAGACTCGAAGGGGGCTGCAAGCCCATTGTCGTGTGTGTGTGTGTGTGTGTGTGTGTGTGTGTGTGTGTGTGTGTATGTGTGTGTTGTAGCGTCCCCCGGCAGGATGCCCACCCACCGCTGGCCTCTTGAGCGCAACTTCGGTGGTTGGGCACTTCTGTGCAGCGAGCTGTCGCCCTGTGACGACAAAGTGTGTCAAACTTTGTCGCGCCCTTTCCACTCGCCGCCCGCTGGCGCCCCGGCAGGCTGCTGCCCCACCGCCCTCGCGACCCCATCGCCGGCAGCCGCCTGCTGGCGCGGCGCCACTCAAAGCACACCACCACGAGCACGGCGGAGGACATCGACGGGGCGCAGCCGGCCGACAGGGACCTGGTGAGACGAGGAGCGGATGGCGGCTTGCATCCACAGGGGCAGCGGCAGAAACGCACGTGTTGTTGACACCTGCTCATGTTGACACGAACGCACTTGAGCGCACGCCCGCCAACGCCCAGTGTGAAAAGCACTGCTGGTGTTTTTCAGGTGGGACGTGAACCTCGCCGCATGCGCACGCACGAGCTGCCTGACTCACTAAGTCTGCGAGGCATACAAACAAACAACTGCATTGCAAACCTGCTTTACCGACAGGGACGCCTGGCCGGCCGCAAGCTTGCCGCAAGTGAGGCCCGCCGCGCGGCGCAGGCTGCCGCCGACGCGGCGCTCGCGGCGCTGCCCACGCCTGCTGCCGCTGCGGCGGCGGCCGCCCTGTGGCGCGAGTGCCTACTTTTGGACAGGGACGGCAGCGGCATGCTCACGCCAGGGGAGGCACGGCGCGCGCTGCGGGATGCGAAGGTTGCGTCCGAGGATTCGCAGGCGGAGAGCATCGTCCGAGGTTTGGCCGACAACGCGGGCTTGGTCGATTACAGGAGGCTGGCGAAGCGCCTGTTGAAGCTGGGCCAGCCCTCGACGGCAGCGGCAGAGGCAGCGGCCTCAACCGCGCGTGACGCCGGGCTCGGCGGGTGGACGACCAGCGAGGGCGCAGCCGCGAGCTCCAGCGCGCCGCGGCGGCCCACCAGTGCGGGCAGCAGCAGTGGCTGCAATGGAGGCAGGGGCAGGTGTGGCACGAGCGGCTTTGGAGCGGCAATGGGCCGCGCGGCGTCCATCCTGCAGCAGGTTGAGATGGGCTCTGCCAGCACTTGTAGAGGTGCGGGGCCTGAGAAATCGACTGCGAGTGGCAATGGCGGCAGCATCGTCGAGGGCTGCAGCAGCACCGACACCCAACGTGGCGCAGCCGGATGCGCAGCGGGGCGCAGCCCGTCACAGCAGTGGTTGCAGCCGCCGCTCAACGACATGTCGGTGGACCAACGCAGGTCGACGACGCCAAAGGCCGGCGCTCAGCAGCCCCTGGACCGCCCTGGCAGCGCGCCAGCCAGGTTGTCACCGCATTGGGGCGTGTCGCATGCTCGGAGCCCTCTGGGACAATCACCGCCGCCACCGCCGCCACCGCCGCCGCCGCAGCAGCAGCAGCAGCAGCAGCAGCAGCGGCGGCAGCAGCAGCAGCAGCAGCAGCAGCAGCAGCAGCAGCAGCAGCAGCAGCAGCAGCAGCAGCAGCAGCAGCCGGAGCACGAGGCAGCCCCAGCGGCGGCACCGTCTTGCGATACCCGCCAATCTGGGCGGCGGTTCCAATCGCACCTGGATTATATGTTCAACGGAGGTGTGGGATGCCTCGAGGCTGCGCGACAGTGGCGGCCGGGCCACGAGCCTGTGGACGACGGCTTCGGCCGCAAGCCGTTCCTGGGGGACGGCCGCCCGCTGGACGCGGCCGCGCTGGCTGCGCTGGCGGCGGCAGCCGGGCCGGGCACGGCTGTGCGGGCGGCTGAGGGGCGGGCGTGGCTGGTGCCCGGTGAGTTGGGGGTTGAGCTGCAGGCGGCAGGTGGGGGCTGGGCGGCCGCAGCAGCTGGCTCAGTGGTGGCGGCGGCGGCAGAGGCAGTGGGTGCCCAGGCGGATGGGCCGGTCGGCGCTGCAGAGGCAGGGGGGGCGGCCGACCACCCGCCGCAGGCGGG